CGCAAGTCATCCGTTTCCTCGCCACAAATCAAATTAGCCCGGGCTCGATTAATCATCAGAAGGGGCACCCTGTGAAAGGGGGCTGACACCTTATTAATTCCCTTAATTACATCTTGTAGGAGGCTTCAGAATCGTCCTGTCGAATTATGCAGCCTCTGACTCCCAACTCTTTCAACTTGGCTACACAAATTATTTGTGCAACCGGGGGTGTTTTAAATGGATTTGATTTCGCATCAGCACGTTTGATGAATGCAATCAAAGCAGAGGTGAGCTTTCAAGGTAAACTTGTCGGCGGGTCGGAGTTACGATTTTGCTCAAGGTGATGCTTGAGGATGGTTCCACCCCCGTCTGGGACGGAGGCTCCGAGGGGGATGGCGCTCCCTCTCCTGGGAATGAACGCCCGGCCCTCGCTGCCCGTCTTTCAAACTCATTTTTATTCTTTGGCTTTTGACGGCGCATGAGACGTCAGTTTTACTTTGACCGTTTTTGTGCTTTCGACTGTCTTTGTGGTGAATTGATTGTTTTATGGCTTGTGGTTGTAGGACTTATTTTGGCTCCGTGCACTTTGTAGACAGCGGTGGTTGCTTTCAAGCGCTCTTTGAATGACAGGCGAGTGGAGATGAGAATTGTTGCCTCGAATATTACCGACATTCATTCTATGGGGATGGGCTCCAGCTCACCGGGAACACCGGACTGGAAATTCAGGCTCAGCTTTGATAAAATGACATCTCATGTCCATTTTGATACCCGAGGCCATTTCCCCATATGCTTCCATCACGTTCATCACTCGTTGGGGCAATTGACAACGCCGAAGGAGCCGTCATGCCGTACAATATGTCCCGTTTGTATCGTCAAAGCAATTCTGTCAGTGCTCAAATGGGGGGGCTGAGCGCACACACGCTGCTCTATGTGCAGAGTCTTCAATGACACGGTCTGGACATTCATTTAGCGAGGTACGGGCAGGCTGAGCGCGTTTAAATGCTCTGAGCGCTTGAGGAAAATGGCACTAGCGCTGACATGAGAAGTGAAAGCGGCGGCATGGGCCCTGCCCCCTGCATGAGCCAGCAGCATGTTGTGTAAAAGCATGGCAATATCTCACCCGGAGAAGCTTTCAAATACATTTCTTTCATATTCGCTAAACATCCAACACAAAGGCCGCTTTCATGTGTTGTACGCCGGAGTGTTACTCAAACGGCGTTGTTCAATGCGGCTGCATTTGACAATAGAATAAAACGCGTGCCCCGAGGGACATTTGTATTCATGCCCGACACAGTTCAATATGAAGTCAGTCAGTCGGAGTGGAAAGATACACCCTGACCTTTACTGAAGTCAATGGCGTGCCAAATGGTGACATATTATGGGCTGTGTGCACTGGACCTACTGGGATGGGAATTATTCAAGTAAGTAAGTGTGAGGAAAGACAGTACGAAAAACGTGTTACCATCACTGAAGAAAAAGAAAAACAAACTTCCAACTGGCACAGCACTGAAAAAAAAAAAGACTAATGCGCATGACCTTTTCGAACGCAACAAGTCCATTTCCCGATCAATAGGGATCTTGCATTGACCATGAGAATTATTATGATTTTTTTTTTTTTTTTTGAAGGAGGATTTTTAGAGTCATTTCACAATGATCTCGGTCATCCGAAAGCAATGCGCTTGTTATTATTTCACCGCGTTTTAAGGAATACAATGATGACCTACAGACTAGAGCAGGGGTAGGGAACCCGGGTTCCTCGAGAGCCATATGCTGCCTGTTTGAGATCCCTCCCTACTCCAACACACCTGATTCAGCTCATCAGCAAGCCCTGGAGAGGCCTGAAACAATCATGAACAGTTGCCGCCGTCGAGGGAATCGCATGGAAATTGCTTTCTGCTCCGTGACATTCTCGCAGGAGGGGCGGCTGCCCCGCCCACGGAGATGAGGGCGTTGAGCTGCCTTTCTCCAGGTGGCCCGGGTTTGCCGCTACCCCACCTCGGTTTGTTGCTCAAATCCGTTTGCATATTAGCACCTGTGTAGCAGATTACGGTAATCCACATCAAATGTCACTTTGGCAGTCTTAACCGGATTCAGCCCAGAACAGCTGTGAGCTCTTTATTGATATGGCACCCGTCTCGGTCAAGCAACAGCGCCGAATCCGTATGACTCTCCCCGGTGGCTCTCTCTTTCTTCTGGGTCCACTTGAGGAATCGGGTCACCCTTTTGCCTCCATAGGAAAAAAAGACATCCGAATGAAACGAAAGCACTGCTTTGACCCCGCCGTCCTCTTCCAGCTCCGTTTCACAGACAGATTGGATGGTTCTTTTGGGGCGTGGTGCACCGCTCACGCCGCACTCCGACGCACTGCGCAGCACCTCCGTGACTCGATGAGGCTCTACTTGACCTGCTCTCGGTGCTTTTCCATTGGCAGCAACCCAGTCATAAGAGGAAAAAAAAATGTGCAGTGGAGTGCGTAGGCGAGGTCGTTTCTTTCTGGACGCTGTCAAAACTTTCGACTTGACAATAAGTTAACTGTTTTTGCTGCGTGGGCTGCTTTGGACTGACGGTGATGTTCTGTTTGCAGAAAGATGCCCGAAGGCCAGCCTGTTGCTGTGGACTGTTTCATGCAAGGGCTTCACGACTTCTACAATGTTCTGACCTCTGGAAAAAGTACACTCTACCTCCGTTTCTTATTCACTGCTGTCCAACACTGACAATTATGCCCGATAACATGACCAGGAATCCGATGTCGGGGTCGTACCGAAGCTCAGTGAAGGCATACAAGACCGACTGCTTTTGAGAATGGCCAAAACCGCTTCACCAATACTCGGGAGAACTTCCTGAATTAAAACTCATTCACTGCTGAGGATTTTTTTTTTTTTTTTTAAAGAATCCAGGCATTCAGTCCCAGATACGTCTTTATGTATTGAAAAGAACAACAGCAAATCACACGACAAAGAAGGGTCTGAAAATGGCTGGCACTGATTGAGTTCCTTAGCAAAGCATAGAGCAACAGAATCGCGAGCGCAGATGGCTTACTTTGGCAAACTACAAGCTGCGAAAATATGGAACAAAGGAACATGGGCGCAGGGGTCAAATGTGGCCGAACAGGGAATGGCCCGGTGCCTTCCTTCCGCTGGTTCGGATGTAGAGTGGGCCACACGGTGGAAATATTTGGCAATCTGCCTTCTTTGGTCTGAAATCGCTGCGTGTCGTCACGGTGGTGCGATGTGGCGGCAGTGGATGGAACCACACACGGCATGCCAGGTAGCCCGGCGCATCCTAGTCACCCAAGACCTTTGGACACACTCATGCCGCAGAACGTCCGAGAAGGGACATGGTAGCGGAGTGGTGCGGAGCTATTCTTTACATTTCATCTCAAGACCTTTTAGCAAGCACTTGGAAATGATTTGCTTTAAAGGGTACTCTATTGATGTCTGATGGGCGTGAGATATTTGACATCACAAGCGGCCAGATTGCGTGGCGGTTTTCTTCCTCCGCTTAAGATTTGGAGAGTTTGCCGGGAACAAGAAAGTTGAAAGGCGAGCGGGTGCAGTGGGACCAATCAAGAGCGACACTTCTGGGATTTACAGCTGCGGCAATCAACTTCAACGCAAGCCTGTCATTAATTCCCAGCCATGTCCTATACCGCTCATGCTTATTATGGTCGTGGGTGTGCTGGAGCCAATATTGGCTGATTTCGGGCCAGAGGCGGTGTACACCCTGGCACACGGTTGCCAGGCAACCGAGGCCGTTCTTCTTTTCCATGTGGGAAAGGTTTCCGGTCCTGTAAATGTTCTTTGGAAAGGCGCCACGTGCAATGAATTATGAGCATAATGACTATAATTGCACAACACAACTTTGCCAATCATGCGCTTGCCTAAATTACAGCTTGCATAAAGCAATTAATAACGACGACATAATGACGCTTGGATGGGAAGAGGGGTCGAAGGGTGAGGGAGGCGGCAAAAGCTCTTGAAGTCAGCCAAGCATCTCAACATGAGCACTCGACACAGTTTGGGACGTACGTGCTAAAAGGTTGACCCTTTGCTGTCGGTCGCCGAAGAGCCATCCAGAGAGAGATGAGGACGCAGCTGTCCGCGTGTGTCCCCAGGAGGTCACCGGGCCTTGACGGATGCCTCTCGCTCTGAGATCGCACTTAACCGCTGCGGCTGGCGGAGGACCATCGACCGCATTCCCGTCGACTCTGCCGAAAACGGAGCAGGGCCTCCCTCCACGGCAAGCCTCCGTCTTTTGGGCATCGAGATCAACAATGTATCAAGGAAAACAGCCCCTCTCTGGCTCAGAACAAAAATTCACAGAAAATTAGGCCGGTGGAAGAACATTCCTTGATTCCTGACACAGGCCCCAAACACTTGCATCAGCCTCACAGCGAGACACTGGCCACATGGTTTCTCTTGAGACCTGGTGGCCAAATTCATCTTTTTATATGAGACTACAAAGAGTAAACAGGCCATCGTTTGGAACCCCCCCCCCCATTACCCCCCCAAAAATGAGCTCCGACTCTGCCAACTTTTGAGCAAAATTTGTCACATTTGTCTTTTTCATTGCTTTTCATAACAATTTCGCGAGGTTCTGCGCTGCACGAAACTAGACACCTTCTGCAATGATGAATGTTTCGAAGCGCATCCGCTGGGAAAAATCTAGCGTCACTCTCACGTGAGCAGGCGAGGGGTTGATATTGAAATCATCTTGTAGTTGGCCTGGCATGAGATTGGAAATCTTGATTCTAATTGCCTGAATGAATTGGGCGCCGCCGTCCTGATAAATCCAGCCTGCTAGCATGGGAGTAGCCGAAGTGAAGCGCCGCTGAATTTTGGTGTGTCGACGACATGTTTGTCCGCCCGGAAGCCACACTGCCACGTGTTGATGCTGACCGCTTATTCGCGCAAGCCAAACGTCTCTTGACAATGTTCATGCGTCATACAAAAGATCGTGCGACCCGTCCAGTCGTCATTTTCCTCACACGTCAGTCGCCACAGGTAAAGGAAGACTGCGAATCGCAATCGAAAAGCATTTTTATTTCTGTGGAACCTCTCCCGCAATGTCCTCGGATCTCTCCGAGGGCATAATGGCATTTCTGTCTGCGTTTGTCAATCCCGGCGCTCTGTGTTTGGGAATCTTTCACCTAAATTGTCCCAGTCTGGCGCGTGAAAAGTACATTGACGCGGCTCACAGATTACCGATGACCACGTTCGGCAGCGAGAGACACACTCAAGTGTTCCTGCGCGGTCTGCTCGCCAGTCTGAGTGGAAAGCTCACACAATGTTGTTTCCAGAGGCAGTCCTCCACAGTACATTGTTTTCCTCACATTTACTAGCACGTTCGCGCTGGACCAGCAACAATGCAAAAGGACCAGTGACAGACGGTTATTTTCACACTTATTTTGATCTTTTTCAGGACAAATGAAGCAGTCGTAGTTATACACGTCAATGTCGGGCTTTCCACATGAATGAATTGCACTTTTACCCGGATCTGCTGCCGTAGATGGATTTTAATTATATCATTAGAGACACACGCACACACACACGCAAACGTACGCGTGTCCTTACATACAAAGAAAAGTAGAGCTGTAGAATGTACATGCCTTCAAGGTCAAGAAGTCAAATCAAATGTTTGTGAGTGGCCACAAAGGTGAGGCCATCAGGGCAGACCTTGGAGTCCCGCCCCCCAAGAAAAAGAAAATCTCAATTCACTCCTGATAGGCTGCTCATGCTTTCCCAGTCGGAGGCAGTGCCGAGAAAAGCCGTCTTGGAACCAAGTCAAACACAAAGGCAGCTCTCCGCGCAGAGCGAAAATGTCGTCGGGGTCATTTCCCGCCTTTGTGCTTTTAGTTCCGCACTCAGGTCGGCGCGAGCTATTCCGTGTCTTTAGCCTTTCGACGTGCGCGGTGAAAGTCTTCACATCATGTTCAAACCACCTCGAAATGACCCCGACCGGGCTGCCTCGGTTCATGCTCGTCGCACCGGGTGAGCGGGAAGCGGGAGCGAGTCAGTGGTGAGATTCACCAACACGGGGCTCCTTGATCAAACAGGGAATTAGTGCGGTTTAAAATCCTTGGCGCCGCGCGAGCAAAGCTGTTTTATCGAGCCGGGTATCCTTTCTCTGGTCCCGGGTAATCCAGTCACCAGCCTTTGGATGTCATCGTTTTACACCAGCCGTCAGGAAGAGAAAGGGTAGGTGAGGAGAAAAGAGCTGGCGCAGAGTCCTGCGAAGGGAGCTCCTCGTTAGGTCCTTGGATGAATCTGCAACAAAAGGGAGCAAAGGAGAAGGACAGAAACACGCACGTGTGCTTAGCTAGAACAAAAAGGACAAAAGTGTACACGGATTAGGCCTCGAGGAATTGCTCCATTTGTGTGTCTCACAAACAACGGGAGTCTTTTGAACTGTTTCCTGCTTTTGCGGCGCCCCGTCTCGCCTCCCGCATCCCGCTGTTACTAAAAACAGACGGCTCAGACAAAAGGAAACAATCCAGGAAAAGCGCAGGAAAATGCGCAGGCCGCTTCCACTCGGGAGCTGCGCGCACACAAAGGAACGTCTCGCCGAACCGTAGCGCTGTCCAGACAAAGTATACGATCCGCTCGTTGAGTTTGGTGCAGCCCCGCCTTCACCTGCGCCGTCTCGTAAACCAGCCAAACGCAGCGATGGCTTTTTCCAACCGGCGAAAATGACTTTGGACTTCTTCACGCAATGCCATCGGGGGCCTTACGGAGGAGCGGGAGCCCTCACTGACTCCCGCCCGATACAGGCACTCTCGTTTCGCCCGGATCGCGCACCGCGACGCCTGGCAATGGGGCGTCGTGAGACCTTTTGATGATTGGAGAATTCCCCGATTGCCGGCTTCTGCCTCAAGCCAGAGATTGGTATGACCTGTGAGTACATCTATTCGAGTGTCGCATCAGGAAGGAGTTTGGATGAGAATGACACGAGGGCGGAGGTTCCGAGCAAACACTGCCTCGCCGATTTAGACGGATGATGAAAATCCATTCGGAAAGAATCGAAATGGAAACGACTACTTTGTCCTCAGGAGAGTAGCCATCACGATGCATTGTCTTATTTTCACAAATCTTTTCAACCGTGAGATCCAGACAAAGAGTACTTTAACTTGGACCACAAAGTATTTTGTCTAAACCTCCGCCCCACAAAAACTGCTGCACGTTCAACGCCAGGGCTAACATTTTCCACCGGCAAAGAGCCAAATCGACGTTAACCCAAGTGCGCCCCATTGCTTTATTCAAGATTTTTCGTGTGAAGAACTTGCAACAATGGATAATCAGGTCCTACGTACGCTACTCCATATGTTGCAAGCCTGCGGGAAGCGGCGTCGACAAAACAGGATCCCGTTAAGGGCTCTCCATCGTTGCCATAGGTACAGGGAACGGCGGCAACGTGTGAGACGGCTAATTCACAGGGATTCGGGCACATTTCCATTCCCAGTCATGAACGTGCTACTGTTAGCATCTGCGAGGCGACTTAGCTTTGGATGTCGTATCGAAGAGTCAGCCAAGGCTTATTGTTATTATGTCTTTCTTAAGGACCAGTTTCAAGCACCGAAGCTCGAGCCAATTCCGCTGGTGGGAAAAGAAAGAAGTGGTGCAAACGCGAGTACCGGCCCGGCACGAGCGCTAGCGCGAGCGTGGTGGAAAAAGGGCCACCCGTTGGCATGCCGTGTACTATCACATGATCAGCTGATACTCCGAGCTCGGGAACGCGGTGCAATAAAGGTGTGTTTTCACATCGTTCTTCCTGAAAATAAATAAATAAATAAAAACGTGTTGCCGTTTTTGTTCTTGACAAAACTTTGGGCTGAATTCTAACTTGAAGGACTTGAAGGGTGTTGGGCTTGAAAGCTTCCACTGTATTGATTTTGGAGTCACTTTTCATGTCTTTTCTTTTCTGTACTCATTCTATTAAGAACGCACCTGGAGGCCCGCGCAAACGGAGCCAATTCTAAATGTCATGATCTCAAACAACAACAGTGCGACGGTGACATTTGGAGCAGGCTTTGGCAGGTGTGCGGACGTGATTGAGCGAGGTGATGTTCGGGGCACGTTGAGCTCTCTCACGGCCACGGCCACATTTCGGGAAGCCGCCGAGGCTCAAATTGACGTGCGGATGTTACACGCCAAACCCGTAAGCGTGGGGCTTGCAAATGTCGTTTTATGGATGTGACGGGAAAGATTTGCAGGCTTCCCGCAGCGTTTCAACAAGAATACGAAATATCCCGATGATCATAATCATGCTCCGGTTTTCAAACAATGAGTTTGGAAGAGAATCTCGAATTGGAAGCATGGCGACTTTGCTCAATTTCAACCCCATGATGGGCTGCGTTGGCTCTCCCACTTGAAAAAAAAAGATCCACGACGGTTGTACGTCTGCTGGCAGGTCTGACAGCTGGGCTCCATTTCATCCCTGAATGCTTTATTGCATCAACATGTGCCCTCTGGTCCTCCAAAGAAATTTGCATGTTTTTCTCAAAAAGAAAAGCAACCAATGTATGAGTTGCAGAAGAGCGAACTCAACTGATACATACTGATTTTTTGTATTTTGGGGGTTTTTTTGGGTCGCCATCTAGGTATCAGACTTCCCAACACCCACAGATAATCGGGCTACTTTGGTCTCAACTTTTGCCACGATCTTATGTGTGTAAAATTGTCCTCTAAGATTATCCTTCGGTGTGAAGTGTGTTAAGAATGGCTGCGTCCCGATAGAAGTGTCCGAAACACGTCGGGGTGGATAATCCTCGTGTTCCATATCTCCCAGAATCTTCATATGTGCAGGGAAAGGAAAACGTTTGAGTCATTTGACTGTGACGACAATGGAATGCAGCCATTCACGGAGAAATCATCTTTTAAGACATGAAACGTTTTGGAAGCTGCTCCACAGCCTTTCCGTCACTGCGACGCGCGCAAATAAAGGGTCTGTTTTGTCCTGTCTGTCTGCTGCTACGGAGCGGGCAACGAGCGACATCCAGAAACAGAAGGCGAAAGACGGATGTCAGGCGCTGGGCCAATTTCGAGCAAATGAGCGCCGACGCCTTTGCGCTGCTTGCATCCTCGTGCTTCAACCTGCCGCTCGGTCAATTCTCTTCTGAAAAGAAACAAGCGCCGCTTTCGAGCTCACGACAGAACGAACCCAAATGATGCCGTTCGGTTTCACAAGGAGGGCGAATGAGGAATTTGGATCAAAGACGAGAGCGGAGTGCAGGATCAAAGGCCTTTCGTGGCGACCGCGGCCTAGCTCCGTGCGCTGATTGCCGCGCCGGCGAGACCCGCGTAAGAGGATCGCTGCGTCAAGAGGCCTTTAACAAGAGCCCAAAAAGTGAAATCAACCGGGCCCGCCTGGGCTTCTTGAGTACACATTGGAGCATTCGTGCACAACAAACGCAGACGGCGCTCTGTTATCCAACACATCAAACAGGAGTGTGTACTCACAACTGGCACATGCACACAGAGAACAACAGTAAGTAGCATGTCGCAGATTAGTTGCAAATAGGATTGGCAGAGCGGTGCACGCAACTGTGAGCAGACCTGCGCGGTCGCCAAAAACGCCACCGGGACGCGGAACAAAGGGAAAGAAACGAGCCATCGTATTGCGCACTCGACAGCGAGAAAAAAAACAGACGACGGTGTTCTTGAGACGAGAGAACCGCTTCCACGGCGCCTTCGGGATTTGCGTCACGCCTGCCGAAACATGCGCAGCCTTGATGACTTTGCGCGGAGTATTTGGGTCAACGGGACGGCACTGAACATGACCGACTGACGCCGCCGACGCGCGAGGGCGGCGGGAAAACCAGAAAAAAACAAAGAACAGCTTGAGAAAGACTAACCTTTACAGAAGCAAGAATGCAGCTCGGTTTCGGTTGACGTTTCCTCTGCATTTTGCTTCCGGAGGCTAAAAAGGGGAGTACGGCTGGGTGTTCTGCAAAGAGAGGGCCGAGAGAAAAGGACATCTGTGTATTGGACAGAAAAGCAGCCTCGAGCCTCACCGTTTGGAAGATTTCTTGGAGCCGTGTCACTCACAGAATTTTCAATCGAATGTAGGAAGTCGCCAAACAATGTGCTCATAGGGGCTCTCGTAATCAACGGGTGATGCAAAGTACCCTAAAATCCTGGTTGCGATATGCAATCCCCCTCCCGGATGAAGTTGCATTCTGGGGGGGGGGGGGGAACAAAGCACTGGACCTACCTGAACATGCAGTCACGACCAAATCATTTTTGGAGCTTTTACGCTTGCGCTGGCCTGGCGCAAGTCTACGGTCTGTCGCGCACATCAGCGGGACAACCTTGAGAAGCCCCGTGTGGTGTTGACTTCACTGGCTTCGTCTCGATTTTCAAGTCATTGCCACCAGGCATTAAACAAACAAACAAACAAACAAAAAAACCCCCCAAAAACGCTGATCGCGTTCAGGTAGGTAGTGAGTTGGTTCAACCGATACCAATCGGGCGAGCAATCTATCACGGTGTGCTGGACTGCTGGCTTGGTGGACTTAACGCCCATTGTTATTTTTGTACGCGGTGCTCAGCGACAGCTGAGCTAGCCGGAGGGCAGCAAGGAGGAAGAGTGGCCGTTAACTTGAACGGAGTGAAGCGTGTGGCCCGAGACGCCGCCTACCTTGATGATTGTTTTTTGCTACTGTGGGCGCTCGGAAACGTTTAACGTGAGGACACAATCAAATGGCGTCTCTTCGCTTTGCTACAATGACAACAAATCGACAATCCTTGTGTATTTATTTGTTGCGTTTTTCTGTTCGATTAGCGATACTCAAGACTGTGCTGTCTTGCGTGTTTGTTCGCAGGGCTGAATTCAATACGAGCAGGGTTGTTTCCGCTGACTGGCCGTATGCACCAGCGACCTGTGATCCTCCAATGCGCCCAGAAGAAGAAGAAAAAGAAGAAGAAGAAGAAGAAGAAGAAGAAGAGGCAGAAGCAGACAAGGAGCATTTAAGGACAGGAGTAGGCGTGGAAGCTACTCGGATTGGATTTGACCCTTGGCCGCAATGCGGAGCCAGATTCTGGTGAAGGTCAGACATTTGAAACTTAACTTGAAATTTTTGGGCGTTTTCCGCGTTAGCGGGTGACCACCGGTTCAACAGAGTGGCACATAAGTGTATGTGCACCGTACGGGTATGTGAGCGTATCTGTTTCTAGAGCTCTTTGGGAAGACGTCGTACGATGTCGATACGCTGATCGACGGTGCACTCTATTTACCGTTTGAATGGCATTGGAATTTTCATCTGTTGGACGATGCCCTTTTTTTTTTTGTTTTTTTGGGTTATGGCGGACTGACTGACAGACTGGCAAAGCGATGGTGAGAGATGACGGAAGCACAGTTCAAATAACATGACGGACTGACCGATGACGTTTTGGTTCGGCTTGAAAACGCGAGGGGCTGCCGATGACGGACGGCTACCCGGGCCGCTGACGGATGACGAATGAATGACCGGCATTTTGTTTGACGCCAACATGTCTTACGGTGTTTTCGTTTTGAAGTTTGAAAAAAAATCGCATTGAAAAGGAACAAAATAAAAAATCCCGTCTCATGGACATTTCACCGCAAGGATATGTTTGCATGCGTGTGTACAAAAACGTGTGGATCAAATGTTTGCTAGGAGGTAGACCAAAAGGCACCGTTTTCGATGCATCCTGTGTGTGGAGGTCTCACCCTTGTGGTCTTGATTTTATTCCCGGAGGAGCACATCCATCCGGAATTGTCGGGCAGAGTCTTGCACTCTTCTCCCTCCAGACACGGCTCCATCTCACACCACCATTTCCCAATTACGATGGAAGCTGGGGAAGGTGAGCAAAGATGTCAAAGGGTAGCTTCGTTATATTGCGGAGAGATTCGAGAACACAGGGCGGGCTGCATCGACGGACAGAATTGGGACTCCGACTATGACGGACGGAGAAGGTAAAATATTTGCAAGAGGGGTCTTCTTCAGCAATGAGATCTCTTCTCAAGGAAAGCGGCACTCCAAACAGCTCCCGCTCCCCGCGCTGAGTTCAATAATACCAAGTGTTGAGGATTCCTCCAGGTTTCATAAGCATGCAAATGAATCATTTGGTCAAGTCGTTGCGGGGCGGGTTAGCTCATTTTGACTCGCGTCCAAATTGCGTTCGTGTAACATGGGCTCGCTTCGTCCTTCGGCTAGTTGACTAAAAACAAAGATGCACTTGGCCCCTCGCTGTCGGCGTCTGTGTGAGTCCAGCATACTGTGTACGTACTCGAGTGCATCGTCAGACGTTGCCCTCAAATCACACCAAAGCAAAACTGAACATCCATGTAAGTCGAGCAGCTCGCAACTCAACCTTTTCTGAGGTTTGAGTTTGGGCTTCGCCGAGGTACAGCGGCTTCCTCCCGCATCCCGAAAACATGCGTGTTGGCTTGATTGAAGACCAACCTTTTCCTCCATCTTGAGCTCAGTCTGAATGAACGGCGCGTCTTTTTTCGTCTTCGCTTGCTTTCACACGTAAGGGTGAAATGCCGCAATTTGTCCGACTCACACTCTCTTCGAGGTTGCTCGCGCTGCGGGTCACCCGTGATAATACGCCGTGAGCAATCACAATCCAGCAAAACACGGTACAGCAAACTGTGGACGAGGTGGCCGCAGGATATTTGAATGTCTGAAGGAGGTTTTCGGCAAAGCGGCTGCGAATGGGACCTTTGGATTTCCCCGTGGATTTTTACCTCGCTCGCTAATTAGCGCATGTTACCCCATCGTCCGGTGTGTCTCTCTACCGAGTTTTTCCCCACCATCTCAATTCTCGGAATTAACATCCGTTTGGCAGCGCGACTCATTCGGCTGTTGAGGAGGTGGCAAGCCCGCCATATGCAATACGTCCTTGTTAAGTGTTTGATCACTGCATCAAATGATACCGATGAAGAAAATGCTGCTGCAGCTGTTCCCAAGAGCGCACACACACAAATCGGCAACTTTGGGGCATTTCTATTAAAAAAATGTGAATGCTTATTCGACTTGAAATTGAAAATAACTATAACAGCTGCAAACAGCATACAGACTCGGAGAAAGCAGAAGCCACGTTGCTCGCCGTAGCTCCGTCCTGCCACTGAAGCGAGATGGGGCAGCAGGCGTTGAGATTTTGGGGGGGGGGGGGAGACATTGAAGGACGGGCTGCTCTCTTTGCTTCTTCCACCACCACGAGCCGAAAAAGCTCCGTGGATGGGTGGGATGGGCGCAAGGGCTTGCTGAGCACACTTTCGGTGGCATCAACAAGGTGGAGAAATGCAAGAGGCCACCGAGACCGGGACCAAACTTGTTCACTTGCTTCCTGAGCGCTCCGGTGTGCTACCTCCTCCTTCCGGGGCATTCGCGGAGGAAATGTCAGCTGGACAAAATGTTCTTTTGCCGCATAATGATGTCCGCAGGCTGAGCAAAGGACAGGCTGAGTGAGCCCGTATCATTTTTGTCTCATCCGCAGAGCAAAAAAAAAAAAAAAAAAAAAAAAAAAAACAACAGGCGATGGGAGCTGGTCATTTTTTTTTTCTCTGCGTGTGTGACATGTCGCATCTAATACATAATACCTAAACATGCAACAAAAGACACACACACACACACACACACACACACACATGCACACACACACACAAAAACCAAAAAGAAAAACCACAAGGTTGCTGACGTGTGTTTGCTACAAATATTCGCAGTTTACAGCAGCTCGATATTATTGGGCACACGATCTCACTGGGCTTTTGTTGATGTGAATGTAGTTGTGAAATTGCTGCTGACAGCTGACTGTGCGCATGATCCAATATTTACAGGCTCAGTGGAAACAAACAAAACCCCTCCAAAAAAACAACAACAACAACTCGCAGACATTTTGGCCTGCAAATTGGCAACCTTGATTGCTTGGCTCTCAGCGAGAACACATTTTCTCCAGATCTTGTGGTCATTTCTGTTCCTGAGGAAATTTGAACAGATATGCGTCCGGTACGAAATTGAAATTGAGCACTTACACCCACTGTGTGAATCCACTTTACGAAAAAGCCTTGAAGTAATGCATTTACATTTTTGGGAACCTCATTATTTCTTGTTGACTCGTGGCAGAGTCTTGCCACATTAACCGGAGCATGTCGTGCGCCTCAATACATAGACACACACACACACACACACACACACACACACACACACACACACACACACACACTCAGACACGCAGAAAATGTGGCTATTTTTTATTTATTTTTTTTATACCAGAGAATACATTTAGAGCGGGGCTGCCCGACCAGTCAATCGCGATCGATCGGTACCCCGCGGACTGGTACCAAGTCAATTGCAAGGGGTGGAGCAGGAAATGGAAAAAAATAATAATAATGTTATTCGCTTGAAAAGTAGATCTTTGGTCAAAAAAAGGTTGGGCACCCCTGCGGGAGAGCAACGCCGCTCATATTTTTGCATGCATTTCCCCAAACGGTGTGCAACCAGTAGAGGACAAGATCTACGGACGTCAATTAATTTGGATGGTCCAAGCAGCCGTTGAGCTCCAAATGACCCGAGCGTCATTGCCATTTTGGTCTTTGTTCATCAAAGTATGAAACGCAGCCTCAGACAACATTGGCAACGAATGTTGTGTTGTTAGCTGCCATCAAAGCTCTCCCGCCGCCTTCCATTGGAGGTCAAATCTCATTTCGTAGCTGAATTGAAATTTGTAATCGGGCTCCTTGGGTTGCGGCTTCCAGGCGAGTTGTTGAAGCGTTGCTGACAACAAGATGGCATTTCCTTTCAGCATTTTCGAGTGAAGTGACAAAAGGGAACGAGACATTTGGGTGGCCAATTAGTAATTGGGAACTCTTGCTAGCGATGGCATGTTAATTGGGCATGGAATTAAACGGACTGACATTTCGTGAAAATGTCCCAAAATCGGAACGGAGCCATTGTCCCGAAAAAGCAGCTATATGCTAATTTCAAATGTCAAAAAAAAAAAACCAACAACAACAACAACAAAAAGAAGGTCCTTTTTGGTGAAGTGAAAGTGATTTCAAAGAAATTGCTTTCAATTCCTGGAGGGTGGGGATGTGGGGGTGGGGGGGACCGGTACCAATTAAGCGATGCCAATTAATAAAACAAAACAAAAAAAAAAAACCAGGAACTACGGTAATTACAATTCCACGGCGCATGCAAACAGATGATTTACGACTTGGCCATTTCGCAGCTTTTCACAGTTTTGAATTCGATCTGAACGTGTTTCCAAATCTGCGCTTTCTGCGTCCCTCAATGGCTGTCAACCCGCCGGCGTGTGGCTGCGAGGACGAATCAAAGTCATCTCCGAAATGATTGCGGCTGTCCGGATGACGCGGCATCGGGCATTCATACGTCTTGACAAGTCGCGTTCAAACAATGACGCACGGATAAAAAAAAAAAAAAAAAAACAATAACAATAATACAAACAACGGATTGGGTGTTTGACTGAAGACGTGAGTTGCAGGCCGCTTTGTTGGACAAACAAACTTGAATTGGTAAACATGAATAGATGGGAAGCTTTTCCAAGTGCGCCCGTCGGCTCAGCGGTGCGAGATCTGCAATGGATGCAAGCCGCTCACGCATTCCGCTCCCCGAGTGTTTGAACACCGTGATGTGTGACGAGGAGACCCGATTCTCGTCCGGGTCGAAATGGGAATACGTGACCGTGGCTTTCAGGAACGGTTCATTCACTTGGCCGAGAGCACGCTTGACGCTCTTTCAATGAATGGCTGCCAAAAATAGTCGAATAAGATGCGGGGTCTTTTTTTTCTTTCTTTCCCTCCCTCGCTCTCTTTTATCAATGACGGTTCATTTCCAGTTCAAACTATTCATGCTACCGATGATGAAAGCAAGTCAAAACACGTCCACGGTAACATTAACTACGAGCACATCGTGTATGCGGCATTGCAATTCCCATCTTTCGAAACGCAAGGGCCAACACTCAAAGAGGGATTCTGCTCAGGTCGATCACGCCATCGTGATCCATCATCCAAGTGAAAACTGTTCTCTGTTTGAGCCGCGCCGAGAGCGACACGTTCAGCTGCTACGTCGGTGGCGACGGAATTCAAACCGCACTTCTCTGAGCCTCGAAAGCCGCTGGCTTCGTGGCGCGTGCGTGGTTTCGAGCCCGAGCGGGTACTCCGGTGCGGTGCCGAGCACCGTGGCGACCCCGTCTTCTGTTGACCTGTTGACCCTGAAGGCCAACCGGAAAGCGTTCGAATCCCGGGCTACGGCGGGAGGTTACGTGGGGACCAACCGGTTTCTCGGAGCACTTGATGATTAGTGGTCCGAGTGCCACTGTTGTTGTTTTTTTTTTTTTTTTTTTTTCAGTTCCAGCTGGAGCGGTGGGCGTTTCCCTCCAGCGGCGCAACTGTCACGAATAATGATCAGCCGGGTCCTAAAAGAACTGCCACATTGACAACCCGTTGTCGGATTATTGCTCATCATGCTGTGATCTGTTTTGGTGTGTGTGGAATCCTCGAGACGCCCTTTCCTGGTTCATGCCACGTAGTTTCTCGCCTCCTGTTGGCATTTTTTGAGCGAAAGTATGTTTGTTGGGTAAATCTAGTGTCGGTTTTGTTTCTGTTGCAGTTTGGCGTCTTTCCGGTCTTTTTTTTGTAAGCTGCATCATTTGTTGAGAAATGAAACGTCTTGATTCGACAGCTTTCCGTTGATGCGAGATTGCCATCTTGCCATCGGAGGAAGGAATGAGAATGACTTTGGCCAATTTTGAAGAGGTCAAGGGAAGAAAAATGTGAAACGACGTCGTGCTTCATCATGGGAAGCTGCCTTTGCATTTAAAAATTGAAG